TCGTTCCAATGAAAACCGCCTTGCAGTTCTGAATTTTCCTGGACTTTGTCCACATACCATAAGAAAGCTGAAGGCTGTTATGCCCAATGTGCCATATGCAAACAACACAAAGCACATGCCTCTCAGTGCTGCTTGACAGACCAGGCCGTATTACAGTTGTCTGTGTCGAGGCCTTCAGAGTCTGTTGCTATCAGTGCTGGGCCAGATGGTACAGCAGGTGTTTTAATGGTGCCCCTCATGTCCTCTCTGATCCAAGTCAGCTCACCTGGTGTGCATCAAGCCTTGCTTTTTCATATTCTGCCAGCTTGGACATACTTTCTGGTTTGGTTGTTTGTCCTGTTGCTTTTCTTTGCAGAAATAGGTCTCCACTCTCTGCCTGGCAACTCTTTAAGCAGCGTCTAGCCTCAGGTGTAGTAGAACATGACTGTACCCAGTCACCCTCTTGTCAGTGTGAGAACAAAGCACCAGGAGCACAAACGATAATGCCGGCCAGGCTCAAACCCACAATGCACCTACAAATCTCCCTAAAGCTCCGCCTTTCTCTTTGTTTTGATCTCCCTTTTCTCCAGCTTTGCATTTCACTGCTTTGCGTGTCTTTCTCTCTGTGAGTTCCACCTTTCTCTCTGCACCACTCGCTCCTAAAAATACCCTGAAATCTAACGTATTAATGCTTCTTGCATTGCATGTATCGAACTGCTCTTCTATGGCTTTACAATTTCATCATGCAGTCTATAATTACAGCTCCACTAAGTGCTAAACCAAGGACTTCTGCAGTCCTGAAGTGGAGGGAGTCGCTATGGGCATCCCTAGTCCTCCACAAAGGAGATTTGGACTTGTGTGGCTGTGCAATTAAGCCTATTTATCTAGTTTCCATTCAAGTGAGCTAATGTTTATTTAGTTCAACGTAAGTTGAGAGTATCAGACCCGAAAAAAGGAAGGGCGAAACAAGGAGGGAGGGGCTGCAGTTTTTCACAAATCTGGCCCCTGCCATTATTGTTTTAGCAGTGAAGTGGCTCCGATAAGGCCAGACACGTATTTATGGGTTTTTACACACCCCCTGTGTCTGCAGCTCCCCCGCTTCGCTTCAACTTGAGATTAAACTTTAACTAGTGTTGTCCCACTGTAAATTGTGTTTGCCATTTCAAGAAATATCATGCTATAGCTGCCACAACGGCTAATATAAGCCGTGATAAAAAGGAGTAAAGTATTGCCCTGGGCTTTACGAGGACACAGGTGGTTCTCAAGGTACAGATGACAAGGTTGCCAGTTCTTTCTGTCAAACTGTATTAGTGAATCAATCTGTCATCACAAACCTTTTTTCTGATGTGTTCAGACGGAAATGAAAGATGATGTGTACTCAGTAACTTCAAAAGGTTGTCAGTTTGTTTTTATATGATTTTGAAGTAGGCAGCAAAGACAGCATTTGAGCGAAAGCATATAACAATAGATTGAAATTGCCTCCCGCTCGTAATGCACCACTCTCCAGCATAAGCAATTCAATGTAAGGGTTATGCACCCGCTGTGGAAGATGAGGAAAAAATACATTGTTAATCTTAATAGTCTTCCACCCAGAGTCTGCACCATTTCCTCTCTCAGTGCCTGTACTGTGCCCTGATGTCCTTCGGCTGACTACCTACGGTTTTTACAAGTAAAATCTTAACACAATAACCGCTGCTATGGCTTGAGATGGTTAAACGTTGCATGCACACAACCCCCTCTCCCCTTGGCGTCCTGTTCTTTTTTTAGCTGAGGACTGAGGATATCAGATACAGCATTTAGTAGGTGTTTTACAGAAATGAAACATTTTCTTGTATTTCTAAACATTTTACAGCCCCCCTGTGGGAACTGAAGGTTGCAATTTATCCATCAGTGGGACTCTGTTACTCAGTGCTAAAGAGCAGCTCTGTCTGAAGCAAGCGTGCTCAGGCCCTGGCTCTTCACTTGAGACAACAACATATTTTCTCCCTATTCATGACTGGATTCACTGGTCGGCTTTATGAGCTCTGCGTGAATAACAGAGACGTTTCAGTCTCTCTTCCTGTGGGTCTATCCGTAGGAAATAATTATAGCCGAGGATGGCTGTAAATATAAGCTCAGCCGTGGGGGTTGTCGGACAAGGAAATGGGACATCACCAGAGTTCACCTGGAAAGGGACGTAAATTAGAGCCTGAGAAAACAAAGACATGTTGAAGACAACAGGATGCAGAAGCCCTGTGGTCGCACATCTGTGCAGCCCGCTGCAGAGCCCAGATCAGACGAAAAGCAAGATGAAGTTCTTGTCCAGAGCTCAAAGTTCAAATTGAGCACTTTTAGAAAAGAACAGCTTTGAGGATTTAATGAAGCAATCATTTTTTTTGAATTTATCAATCTTTTTGTAATTATTCACTAAGGCAAGTTCATAAAATTGTAAAATACACAATTTGAGTTTGTAGAGTTCAAAGTGATGTATTTTATAGTAGATTGTTGATTGACAGGTGAAATATTATGTATAGCAAATTTAGCAGTGGAAATTTAATCTCACCTGCTGACAAATGATATGGTTACTATTGAATAACTATCCAATCAAGCTGTTATAGCATGTGTCTTAAATGTACGCACTTCACTGCATAGTGATGCATTTATTTGTGTTTGTCTTAAATTACCTGTAGCTTAAAGAAAAGTCCCGAACATGAAACTGCTCACCTCAAAGTTGAACATTCTTGTGCTACACATGCATTGTGCTGGAGAAATTGCGGGGAAGCCATAGCAAATCATGGACATATTTTGGTCCTGCTAAACTATACAATCATTCTAGACAGATTTAATGAAAATAATCTCAAAAACACCAGGCTTTAATATTACTTGTCCTTTTTTTTTTTTTTTCAATGTATCTCGGATATTTTCTGAACAAACTAGCCACAGATGATGTTTACCTACTGAAAGTGTCTTGATATCAGCTAAAACGTCAATAACAAAATGATGACTATGTAAATCCCCTCCCACTATGATCCTATTTACCTCTATAGTGAAAAACATTGAACTAATGGAACGTATGGTTTTCACTTTACGCCTACAAGAGGAATTGACATGAGGCGAACGGTAAGGTCGCTCCACCCAGGCGGAAATGTAACCCAAGATGAGCTAACCTCTGACAAAAAACAAACAAGGCTCTGTAATGTAATAGTGAAGCTCACGACGTTACCTGAGGCATTTGGTGAGGCATTTTTGCCTCGTCAGCCATCAAGGGTCAAAGAAGACAGGAAAAAAATTCAGATACCAATAACTTCAAATAGTTACTGCAATGGATGTTTTCATGCCGCAGAGTGACACAGGACAATAATTTACAGTGAAATTTATTATGTAAGAGTGTAAATTTTACATTAAACAACCTATTAAACACTGTGCAAAATTAGTTCAGTATTAACTCGTCATAATAAACAAAGACTAAACCTGTTCAACCAGAAGTTGCAACATATCTGCATACAAAACACACAAAACAAAACACAACTAGCGTTAAGCATTAACTTTTAATATAGCCATTAAGCATGCAATGTAATTTTGACAAAGACATGGACGGTTTACTTGCAGTTACCCTTCTTACAGATGGACATGTGGTACTTCCTGTTTATCACTGTTGTATTCAGCTGCTCATGAGGACGGCCACCGGCCTTTATACGTCTTACATTTTTCCAGACTCGTTTAGGTTTTAGAAATGGAATAAACTGTATTCCACCATCTAAACACTCAGGGTAATGCACGTCTGAACTATACATTCCACATCGACAACGTTTAACCATTTTTTCTGATGATTTTTCACAAGATCCCTATGACCGTAAAGCCTTCGTGATGCAAAACCCTAACAATTTTGTCGGAGGAAAAGGGGGTGCAGCTCCTGCAGATAAGGGTTGTTTCACTTTGGGACAAACTGCGATCGTCGATTGATCAGTTGCTGACATGCCTGCCGGATTGATTGACAGATGGCATCTTGTCAATTGAGAAGGAAGCATTGGAGAAAACACATATACACCTACATGTGTGTACTGTATATGTACATATCCCTTTTCGTTTGGTTAATTTTGTTAACCTGGTCCTCATTATGTTGATGTTTATTGTACAAAATTTTCATTAAAAAAAAGTTGAACATACTTGAGAATTTTGATCATCATTTGTCAACAGACTTTTCAAAAGGTTTGCTTTGTGCTGGAAATCTATAGCTAATACATTTTCCTTTAAGTGAGAAGTAATTAAAAAAGACACTTGACAGTTCACTTTAGCATTAGGTCAATATATGCATGAAAGACTAAACTACAGTTAAAGTTAATGGTCCGTTCTCACTAATTGATCTTTTTTCTTTTTTGGCGCATTAAATTCCCTAAAGATGAGAATTAAAAAAAAAAAAGGTGTGTTTAATTGCTGAGTTTTTAATAAAGCCAACGTGTGCTTTCTCATTGTTGTGAGTGCATACATATAACTCCATATTGTATCTTTTAATAGGAGCTGCAGGCAATCTTTGAGGTATTTGTGAGTAAAAAGTAATTAAAATTACAATGGACTACCCGGTGTGTTGCAGGGCGGCGGGGGATGGATGTGGAGGGGTGTTGTACAACACTCGGTGACTTGGCTCCAGCTCTTTACCCTTGCACTTGTTCATTAGTGATGCATTGGTTCGCTCTTGGCCCTCCCATCTCATCAGAAACAGGACCTTCACAGACAAAGTCTGAGCTGTATGGATGTGCCCATTATGTTAATAACATGTCCCCCAGCGTTTATACACAGCCACCCAGTGTGTTCCAACTTTTCTCACTGATGTATGAGGGGGGCAGTCATATCTGTGGTACAGGATTGTGTTGGCTAAATCAGTGAGTTTGACTGTGAGCGTGCATGCACTACCTAGGAGGCTGAAATGACTCCTTGACTTTCAGCGCCTGTACTTTGTTATTGACTGAAGTGCCATGCTTGGCCTTGAACAGTTATTAATTGTAATATTTTTGTTTGTTTTCTTCTCTCCTTTTTCTGTGTAGTTGGCGATGGGCAGATGGTACAAATGGACCCCAGTAAGTCTGGCTTCGTTGGCTCGCAAGTGGAACTGCGCTGCATTTTCATCAACAGCAACCCGCCAGTCAAGATTTCTCAGGTTACCTGGCAGAAGCTGCTCAATGGCACAAAACAGAACGTCGCCATCGCCAACCCAGCTCTAGGCGTGTCGGTCCTGTCGCCGTTTAAGGAGCGGGTCAGCTTCAAGCAGGCAGCGGTTCGTCACCGTACGCCCTCGCTGGAGGACACTACCATCGTTTTCTCCAACTTACAGCTGTCCGATGAAGCGGCCTACATCTGCGAGTATACCACGTTTCCTGCCGGCAACCGGGAGAACATGGTCAACTTGACGGTGTATGGTAAGAATACGCCACTTGCGCAAGATTTATGTAGTCAAACCTAATTCAGAAAACCTTCATCAAAGATTTTTTTTTTTAGAGAAACAGTGGCCAAATATACGCAACAGGTTTATATTTTAGGATATTTTTCTGGGCCAACATAAATGTCTCACTTTTCCATTAAAGGTTTGCACTTTCATGACCCTTGGAATTGTATATCACAAAGGCATCAACTACAAATAAATTAAAACTAAAGAACCTGTTTTATAACATGTCCATTGAAACACGTGTGTATTATGGAACGACTCCATGTGTCTGTCCGTAAATTTTCTCTTGTCCAGACCACAACTTTTGCTCTGCTCAAGATAATTTTACAAAACTTGATACTGATTTGTACTACCAGTCGATGGCATATCACGTAATCTTTTCAGCACCCTGCTTCAAGGTCAAGGTCACAGATCAAGGTCAAATTTTAAACATGGTATTTGCTTGTCCAGGTTATAACTTCTGATTTGCTCAAGATGATTTAATGAAACTACACATTTTTTTCATTACCCCACCTCTAAGCTCAAGATCCCAAATCAAAGTCAATGTTATACTAGGTATTTGCCTCTCCGGGCCATTGTTATAGATTGCAGTATCGCTGTATAATAGTTTGTCGACAAGCCTATAATGTATGTATGCTGTACAGTTTAAAGTAGCTGAAAGTAGTTTTTTTAAAGAATTCTGAGTTCTTGAAATATAAACAAAGTATTTTTTTTTCCTACAAATACTTCTGTTTAAGAGTTATTTCTCTACTTAAAGAAAATGAAGTTACAGTATTTAACCAACATTTTTTGTCTTTGCCTCTCACTTTGTTTTTGAATTAGTGTCTAAGATTTGATTGGGTTTGTATTCCCATCGCCTGTGATGTCTAATTGATGTAAATATCTTCTAAATTTGCTTGTGCTTTGCGTAATTGCACATTTCCTTCACTTGCAGAGAGATGAGATCTCTCAGCAACTGCAATTCTTTCAAAGTCAGATATTAAAACTTGAAAAGAAAAATCCCCAGTCCCTTTATTTCATATCAACGATCTAAGCGATAAAAATAAAAAAAATTGAAACCACAACCTGACTACTGCTGCTGGTTTTGTTGAATTATTCGTCACCTACACGCACCTACATGTTCCACATAACTGATTGTGTAACTGTTGCTGTTATTAGATACGTTTTAGACAAGGATATAAAACAGGTTTCACATCTTAGGATCAGTTAAGAAACATTTTTTTAAAACACGATTTTGTTTATCACATGAATGATGTGAAACGGTCACATCAGTTAGTGACATTAGACAGAAGCTGAACGTTTCGGCTTCATATAACACCAGGTCAGGCTGACGGTTTCCAGTTAGGTGAAAAGCAAAATAAAAACACTTTTACAGCTCGACCGCTCAGCTCGAGGCTCTGCTGTAAATTACACCAAATTCCACAAAGTTTTTTTTGTGTTTTTTTTGTTCTCGTTTGTGTGTTTACAGTAAAATACATGCACATAAACTAAAACACACAGAATAGTTTTGATTTTTAATGGTTAAACATACTGAACATGTAAAAATCACACTCATTATGTGACACCAAGTCAAATTATTTAAGAGCAAAGTGCCACAAATAGCGGTCAATAAATTTGAAAGGTAAGACTAGAAATCAATAAGGACACTTTGGGCTGTGTAATTTGCTTCAAACTCATCCTGAAGGAAAAAAAGAGTTCTTGAGACGTAGTTTATCTTGAGAAGAGGAGCTTTGAAAAGGTTGTTGGCTACCTCTGACTATAGAGTTAATTAGTAATTAAGTGCTGGTGTGTTTCCCATTAAGTCCCAGTAAAGGAAACATAAAAAAGAAGCACTTGGCTTGAGTAGTCTCTGTTCCCCGAGTGGCTTTCTCAGCTTATTTGATGTTTTTGAGATGTTTTAGGCAGCAGCGGCTCGGGGAACGTCAACGACCTGCTTGCAGATAACCAACCAGCGGTGTTCACAGATCTCTTTTACAAGCTTGTTTTTTGATGCACCAAAATTAGATTGCTAATTAGCAACTCACAAAAGATTCAGTCTGGATGACGGCACATTTAGTTTGGCAAGTGTGGTCTACATCTCGCAGCTCGTTTTAACTGTTTCAGCTTTGAGGAAGGGAAGACTCAGACCTGTATCATCTTATCTCTACTTCAGATGCTAGTTTGTGGCTGCGTTAGATGTTCGTTTTCTATAGTGTTTTAGAACGTAAAAACACGTTTCATTCTTTATTTTTTTTTACTTCACAGCTCGACCAATGACACGCATGACGCTGACAACCCCAACCATCGTGGCCAGGGGCCAAAGGCGCAAGATGACCGTCGCAACTTGTGTGTCGGCCAATGGGAAGCCGCCGAGCGTGATCAAATGGGACACAAGGTTGAAAGGTGAAGCGTCTTACCAGGAGACCCGCAACCAGAATGGGACGACGACGGTACGGAGCAACTTTATGGTCATACCGAGCCGGGAGACCCACAAACAGAAGCTCACGTGCATCGTGACGTACCAAAATGACAAGATCCCAGACAGCGTGGTGCTCAACGTCCAGTGTAAGAAACGTGCCCTTGTTAAATAATAAAACTCTTGGAGACAAATATTTTGGTTTTTATCGCAGCATAAGGAGATAGTAGTTAAAATGTAGTTTTTTGTATGTTGTTAAACCATTCAAATCACTTTATAATTTGTACAAACAGCTACTGAATCGAAAAATAATCTTCGCCGAAACAGATTTTTAATGGCTTGTAATGAAAATATCTAGATATTTTAATTAATAGTTTAAAATTGTCTTTCAGGTTTGTATCAAATTGATTGAAGCGGGTTCTTTTTGTAGCAGAACAAAAACAGAAAGAAGTGTAAACAGTCTAAAAGATGAGCTGTTCAATTAAAGGACAAAGACTTCGCCCCGTTTTAATCTTTTGGGAAGAGCCAATCTGAACTATCTGCTGAAAGAGTTTGGCCTCTGAATACATAAAACATCAGTTATAAGTTTGCATTTATCATATTGTTAAGGGTGTTAATTTCAGTACAAACATTCATATAGCTAGGTAGATAGATACTTTATTAATCCCAGGGGGGAAATTCAAGGCAGCCAGTAGCAAAGTCTAATTCGGTGGTTCCCAAACATGGTCCTTGAGGAACGCCATTCTGCATGTTTTAGCTGTTTCCCTGCTCCAACACACCTGATTCAGTGATTTTTATTACCTCCTCAAGTTCTGCCAAAGCCTGTTAATCACCCATTCATTCAAATCAGGCGTGTCAAAGCAGGGAAACTACTAAAATGTGCAGGGTGGTGTTCCTCGAGGAGGAAAATAAATGAAATAATAAAAATAAAGAAGCAGAATACACAAATTAGAAAAAAGACAAATATGCACAAGTACAAAGTGGTAGGGAGTACTACATTCATGATTAACATACATACATATATATATATATATATATGTATATGTATATATGTACTGTATATATGTGTGTATATGTATATATGTACTGTATATATGTACTATATATGTGTGTATATATACATACGCATACATGTCCGGGGTGCAGCAGATTTACAACGCTCTATTTTTCCTGTACGAGGAGGAGTTTAACAGCCTATTTGCTGTTTTTCTAAAGTTGTGCTGCGTTTTATCAGAGGTACAACCTGAACACCCACTTCTTTTATCATTGAGGGACAAAGTGACATCAATGTGCCTTTCCTGCAGATGAACCTGACGTGAAGATCGAAGGGTTTGATGGGAACTGGTTCCTGAAACGCCAGAATGTGCAGCTGACCTGCAAGGCCGACGCTAACCCCCCTGTCACGATCTACCAGTGGAAACTGTGAGTCTGACTAAACCGTAACAAAACCCCTTAGTGCTCAGAAGTCGAGACTGCCTGCCTACGTGCCGTTTCTCCCACTTTAGATGTCTGCAGAGAAAATGTTCTAAAGATGGGGGTTACTAAGGCAGAGAAAGCTAATTTCACAGAATAGGAATGCTGAACAAATGCACACTTTCCCAGCATTTTTATATACCATACTCTTAAGCAATCACCAAAGACAAAAACACACCGAATATCTTTGCCTTGCACAGAAATGTGTTTTAGTTTTATTGTAAAACATGTAATGAAGATAAAACCCGAGGCGGAGGACAATGGGTCCATTACATCTGCAGCACACCCCTATCTGCCTGATGGTCACAGATACTGGGAGATCAACGCCAACAGAACACACTGCTTTGTGTTGGCTGTTTCCCTTTGAACTCTAAGGGCCAGCATGCAGGTAGAGGTGCGAGAAAGCGTTAACGTTAGGGCCGTTTTGTTCTCCTGTGGGTTATGGAGGCAGCAATTTGTCCCCGACACACAGAAAGGAGAGGGCTGAAGCAGAAATACGAGATTTAAAGGAAGCCAGCATAACGCAGGACTGAGATCAGCCTTGTTCTCTCAAACAGGATTACAGAAAACTCCAAATAAGCAGAGGCGCAAGCGTGAAGATTATTAGATATCAGATTAACAATTTAAGACTTTGCTACCTGGCTCCAAGGAATGCAGCCACAGTAGAACGATGATTTGTTTGCTAGGATTTGAACTTTTTAGGCACATCTATGCTTTTTGATGCAAACAGAAAATCAAATAAGACAAGTGGTACATTTCAAAGCAAGCGATTAAGGCTATTAATTCAAGTACTGCAGGTTTAATTTGTGACAAAAAAAGTGCCCCCGGTAAACTGCTCAGTGAAGGTGAGGTTAAGAATCATCTCACTGAACTGAAAGAGAATGATTAGACTACTGTGCCCTCATTGGATCAACTCCACCATCTATGAGATTTTAATGAGACACAGGCAGATTCTTCCTTTTTTCTTTCTTCTGCATTTATATTTATTTTATACGCAGGGATACTGATGCGTACACAGCAGCTGAATAAGGCAGCAAGAAGGAGTGCATTCAGCCTGTTTGGGGTTGTTTTTTTTGTATTTATTTGAAGCGAGGCGAGATAGGAAGGGAAGAGGCGGCGGCTGAAGAGATGTGATCTAGAAAGACGAGGGCACAGAGCTGACAGATAGGAGAGGACGGCCATTGCTGCACTGAAAATGAGATGCCAAATCTGTTGTGAAGGTTCCCCTGGGCTTCACTGTGGAGGTCAGAACAAGGCTGTGATGGAGCGCTCTGGAGCTGCCTGGCAGAGCTGCGTCACTATCACAGGAGCAAGGAGGTGTAGCCAACTCCACCCCATAGTTCTGCTTTGGGTCCGATCACGATCAACTAGGTTCTTGAGCTTTGAGGGGTTTATGTTTACTTGGCGTCACTTCCTGTTGTTATTTGTTTTATTTTCAAATGATCGCATTTTTGTTCTTTGCCTCGGCACATAGTGTTCTTGAGGGAATCATCTGAGCAGCTTTTTTTTTTTTCTTCTCAGATCATAATTTCAAAGTTATTTTTCAAAATGGGTGAATGGGCTGAAAAAGTGCAGAGTTGAGTAAAAACTTCTCTCCACCCAATTTAAACTTTATTTCCTACAGGTTAAGACAAATAACACGCAATAACGTTTTTGCTCGTGTGTGTGTGTCTGTTACTAAAATATCTTATGAACCACTTTAAAGAGTCTATGACATCAAATGTTAGTAATAAATATGAATACATTTCTGGAAATGTAACATTAACAACGTATTGCAAACAGAACATTGTGCGATGAAGAGTCGGTGAGATATTTGGATGCACAGTAACAGGAAGTGATGACAACGGAGAATGTAAACAGAGTGTTGCTACAACGGCTAACAACACAGACAGTAGAGAAGAATCTGGTGTTTCTTTAGATTATTTTAAGTTACTATCAGAGAGGAGTCAGAGTTCAAATTAGATTATCAATAAGCAAAGACCAGGTAGCTCCTTTTCAAAGAGTTCACCTCTGATATCACTTCCTGTTTGACTTGGCTGCACCAAGTTCAGACGAAAATATGCCAGTTAAGTGACAAAATGGATAAAATCATGTGTATCATGTCAATTTTTTTTTTTTAAATAAAGACATTTTTTCTGTCTTTTTTACACAGGCACTTTAAAATCAACCCAACTGAACTTGGCCAAGCGTATAGCAAGCGTATTAATTACTCTAAATCAGTCATTTTTAGGGATACCGAGCTAATTCACAAAAACTAGATAGTATGCGATAATTTGAGGAGGTGGTAACACGTCGTGTAACACCTTGGGATTTTACCTGACATTGCACAATTTTTTTTCATTTGTTTTTTAAGTTTAACCAACCTTATTTATAAGATTTTCTCCATAGAAATAGATTGATCATCTTATGTTGGTTATAAACTCTGTTAATAGTCACCATAAGATGATCTTAATTTAAAATTCAGGCATGAAAGGCGGATGTGAATATGCATTCCTTTAAGGATTTCATGGCTTTTCATTTGTGAAGTGTTTTGTCGTAGGGCATTCCCTATTATGCTTATTTCTGGAGCCTGTTTTTGGAGCGTACTGTAGTTTCTGAGTGGGTACCAGTAAAGTCAATGGGTTGTAGGAGGGCTTCAAAGCTGCTTTATTTTATCCCTTACAGCTGAATTACTTGTGTGATAAGATTTCTGACTTTGTTTTTCTTTCTTGTCTACCATTGAAAAGCTATTTTCTAGCAGATATAAAGCCCCATTGCTTTCCAAAATGCATTTTCAGTTTCTCAAAGACCAAATACTCTATAAATAAATTTAAAAAAAGTGTGTTTTGTTTTTACTTCATTTCACAGTGCGTTTACTTCAAAACTCTAATTAGCTTGCTTGCTTATCTTTATTATGAAAATGAGATTCTATTAATCATGTTGATTAAAAGCCACATAAGGACAGCTGTTGGTTGATTTCTTTAGCCGCCAGTGGCTGTGTATGAAGCTCACAGATACTTAATGGCCTTTAGGAATGATATTTAAGGCACAGATTTGTTGAAAGTACAGCCAGTCCTGATGTCACGAAGGCCAGAATGGCAGATTACATCTGTTCTTTTGAAGCAAAAACAAATCTTGAACACGAGTAGCAACGAATCGTTCATTTGATCATTTGAGGGAGGGAGGAAGGGTGAGTGGTTGGTTGAAGTTAAAATTATTCTTATTGGGTAGATTATACTTTTTTAACTGAAGCAATTTTTAGACAGGGTTTTTGGCTATTGTTGGTTTTATTCTAAAAAAAAAGTGTGGATTTTAACCTAAATGTCTTGACTAATAACTGGTTAACAGGTGCTTTGAGTTTTAGTGAGGGCACATTTTACAGCAACCAAAGTACACGATTAAAAGAAGGCCTCCACAGCTAATGCACCTCAACAAACAGAATGCGAAACTAACACAGCCAGTTTTACAGATAATGCGCTAAACTTTGGTGTGATAGTAGTTAACAGGGTCCCCAGAGAGTTTGAAAATCAAGGAAAACATGTTCACATTTTACAGACAGAGAACTCAGGGACATTAAGAAAGACATTGAAACTCAGGGAAGGTAAATGCTGATCTGCTGATTAAATGATATCTCTGAGATTTTGATGTGTACATGTATTAAAACTAGTATTCAATATCACTGAGTGCATGTTGAGCTCCTACAGTGTACATGGCATATGTATCTTTACTGAGTGGCTATGGTGACTTTAGTATCTGATGGCATATAGTATATTTAGGAATGATTGCGTATGCATTTACCCCAGAATACAGTGTACCTACTGTCATTTCTGAATGAGATTTTGACTCCACCTAAGTTCTGAGCATGTTGTGTGAATCAAATAGTACCTGACATTTCAGGATTTACTCAAGAATTGTGTTTTCCTGAAGTGCTGGAAACCCTAAGTCATGCCTTATCTTATACTCTAAGTATACCCTAAGTAGCACACGAAAGCAGCTCTTTCAAGGAATGCTAGTTCTAATATGTTAGGAGTATTAAGAACATTATAAAAATAATCACATCAAAATACGTCCACTGATTCATGAAATATTTAGCAAACAAACACAGAAACAGGTCATTACATGATCACCTTTTATGGCGTCGGGCAGTTAAGATCTCAGCTCAAGTTTGACCAAGTTTGGGCCGAGATGGGGTGGAGGTAGAGCAGCCGACTTGGGACCAGAAAGTCGTTGTTCGACTCCCTGCCATCCCCGCATGTTGTGGCATCCCTGAGCAAGACACCTAATCCCTATTTGCTCCCCAGGTGCTTGCATAGCTGCCCACTGCTCCACCTGGCTGCAGCTCACCTGCGATGGGTTACATGCAGAGAACTAATTTTGCCGTTGTATGCAGTGGTGTAGTGTACGTGATAGGCGGGTATACGGAGTATACCCAATAGAAAAGCTTAAGAATTCCAGTATACCCACTTAAAAGTGCCCAGTGATGCATATCATTAGGCATGTGTCATTGATACGTTAAACGGCAGTTAAATGCTTCTATCGGTATGTAGAGCTTGTTTATTACATTTGCTTATCCAGCAAATTATTGTATAATTAATACTTCTGTACTTACTACTTAATACTTGAACATGTTTTGCATTGATCCGCTTTTATAAATTCTATTACATGGTTTTAATACAAAGTCAACTGTTGGACAAAATGTGTTGTTCATTTACCGTATTCAAATATAATCATCAAATTTGGAAATATTCAATACGCTTAAAACTCAAAATAAAATTACGTTTTTATTGTACTAACCAGTGTACTTTGGTTTCTAAGCTCAGTATACAGACTGACCGTGGTAAAGTTAGTTTTACGTTGGACGTTGGACATTCGCGCTCCATGGCTTCAGCGGTGTCCAACGTAAAACTAACTTTACCGCGATGTACCCACTACAAAAATGTAGGCTACACCACTGATTGTGTGGGAACATACAATGATGACATCACGTAGCACTTTACTTTACTTTACAAAATGTATAAATCTGTGCAACAATCTGCCACCCTCAGAAGATGTCAGTAATCTTATTGAGTTGGAAACATCTTGTTAAACATCTGCAGCAGCAGATCAAATCAGCATTTTGGAAAAGATGCAGACAGAGATAAATCTGTTTGTTCACGTCTCACTTCTTTTATCTGGAGTTGTGTCATTCCTTTCTGTTTCCATGCCGTTGGTTCTGGAGGGTGAGGACGTGTGTGAAACCAAATCTAATCCAAGATGTTGTAGAGATGACCGCCCACCCGCTTCAAATTGAGTTGGGGAAATTCGTGCAAAAGACCAAAAATGATCCGTCAATGCGCAGAGAAACAATGTGTCAGGTTGTCCTGGCATGTCTTCTGCAGGGACGTGGGTTGTGGAATGGAGACTTTATGGTGTAGCATCTGTGTCAGATCCCATCAGATTGGTATCTGGAGAGTTTATAGAGTTCCAGAGAACACCTCTGATTAGTTTTTGTGCTGTTTTAGCCCTTCCTAAACTGGTCTTGTGGGTCCCACTCCTGTCCTACGTACAATTAGCAGAAAGTATTGAGATGTTTTTTTTTTTTCTTTCTTCAGAAGACTTAATGCACATCATGATAAAAAATAACTTGCAAAACATGTCTAACTTGGAAAACCCTAAAAGATATGACTCACCAGCTGTTTTCAGTCTGAGGCGGCACATATCTTCCCAAATATCATCCTCAGAGATAAAATGTATCGTCTCCATTCTCCTTATATGGATTTCCATGACTGTTGTTTCTCATTAGGATAATACCATCTGCTTAATTAGCAGCATATTTGTTTAATGACACCATCAGTTTATTATCTCTAAACCAATTAGATATTTTTATTATTTTACTTTGAAAAAGAAATCTGTATTTCAAGGTTCACACTATTGTTTATTAGTTATTTTTAACATTTCATGCATGTTATTGTATAATTAATGCAAATCAAGGTCAAGGTTCTTTACTGCCGTTCACATCACATGTGGTACATGTGGTAAAATGAAATTGTGTGCACAGAATCCCAGTTACTTCTTCTACAAACTACAGTAATTGTACTAGAAACTACTACTTTAGCTATTATTTTAACAAAATGTTATCGGGTAGCTCGTTCTAAATTTAGATTTTTGTAACTTTTATTCCGTTTCAAATTATTTCACTTTTTTCACAAGATATTCCACATAGAAAAACAAAGTAGACTGAACTATTTTCGATTTCTTCAAAAATATTGTTCTTTTTGAAATTTGCTTCAGCATACTTGTTATGTTTTGACCTCTTGTGCAACTTTTTCTTTTTAAGCTATCATTTTACCACTTTTAGCTTTCAGCTAGCCTTTTGCTATTTTTTTTTTCTTTTAGCTACTGCTACTTTTAGCTTTTAGATAACCTTTTGCAGTTTATGGTTTTCACTTACCTTCTTTGAACTCACATTTTACAGCTTTTAGCTATATGACTTTGCCACTTTTAACATTTAGAGAGGTTTTGGCTAATTTTAACTTGCAGTTTATTTATTATTTTTTATCTTACACTTTCCTGCTTCTAACGATCATTTAGCCATTTTTAGCTTTAAGCTTGTGTTTTGCTCCATTCAGTTTTTAGCTAGTGTTCAGCTTATTTTAGATTTAATAACAACACTGTTGCAGCATATTTGGCAAATTTCAACATTCAGCACTTCACATTCATTCATACATTCATGTTCGTGCTGCTGTTCGGCGTATTGTTTTTATGCTATTAGGGCTTAGCGTATTTTTTGTAGATTTTTTTTTTCTTAGTTCTTATCTTAGATCTTTTTACTGTTTTTCCTTTACATTTTATTGTGGGATGTAACTGGGACCCTGAGTACACAATCTCGTTCCACCACATGTACCACATGTTGTATGACAATAAAGATACTCTGACTTTGACATTCACACTGTATTTTAGCAGAAAATTAAATGTCTCAGCTTTAATTTTCCTTGTTAGTCAATAGAAACTTGTTACAAAATAACGTGATGAGCAACGTTACTTGACCTGTCAGCTGACGTAATGTTATAGCTAATCTGTGTATTTCTACAAATAAAAGCTAAATGTTTTGTTCGTTTTGAATCAGGCATTTGAATCCGGCTGCTGTCGCTGTTTATTTGAGCCAGAGTGTGCAGAAGTAGAGCTCCCACTGATTACAGAGAGGACAAGAACAGAATAAATGTGCAAAGATAAAAGATCAGCTTAATTGAACAAAATAACTTTTAGTGGTATGTCTGTTCGTCAAAATCATGTTTTCCTTTGAGAAAAGATTATTTGTTGTGTGATGTCTTTTTTTTTTTTTTGATTGTCAGTAGTTTAAACAAAAACACAGCAAGTATAATATTAAGAATACATATATTTTTAGGAATAAATATTCATTTCTTTCAGCTATGCAATGATAAACGCAGTTCCCCCCGCCCCTAAAAATAACTTTCACCTTCAAAAAATCCCACGGTTTCAAGTGAAGCCAGGATGTCCGATTGCTGCAGCCCCCACACATCAGCATCTGCACACAGAGCTTGCATACACGAGGAGCCTAGACTGTCTTCAAAAAAATCTGTATCACTCTCAAGCTGTTTGTCAGTCTTTCATGTTGCTGCCCCTCAGGCTCCACTCGTGCACACAACACAGACAGGCACAAATCACACAAATGCATACAAGGCTGTCCACGGCAGAACCAGTGGTGAATCGCAGTTTGCAAGCCTTTCATTTCTGCAGCAAATCAATTGGGCTTTGCAGAACTCAGCATTTGATAGAGGCTCACAAGTTAACTGATTATTGAATCGTGACATACTGTATCGGGGGATGTTTGCGGTTCCACTGTGATTGCTTCACTAAGGTGGCCGATGGAAAAACAACTCCAGCTCAGCTTTTTAAAACTTTTTTTTCCTGAACTGTTTCAACATGTAAAAAAATAGTTTTATATGGCATTCATTTCCTATTACAGCTTCCTCTCTCCTGCTGTCATTGAAGAACCTTGTTAAAAGCCTGTTTAGTTAAACCTCAAGTGCCTGATTTGTGACCATTGTTAGCATGAGACCTAACTTTGTTTCCCCCTCTGTAATCTCATCTTGCATTCTCTCATTTCACTAAATGAGGCACCATATTGTTTTTTAATGTTCTTACGCATTAGATCCTCTCAAAGTGTTTTTCTGACCCAGGCATGACAAAAGAACATCTTTGCAGCATCGTCATTGTCGTCTCAGTCAGAGCGGAGAGCCATTCAGCGGGATCACAATTGTATTTGTAATTCTGCCTAAGCTGAGCCCATTCAAAGCAGCTGATGAAGCTGATAGAGTGGAAGGCGACAGGAAACGGCTAATTGTCACGAAAGTTGAAACCTTTTCCCGCCTGTGGCCATAAAAGCGGTGCAGATAATAGAGTAGAGGGCTGCTGCGTTCATGATCTGTGACCTCGGAGTGGGCAGGCCCCGATCAAAGGACACGGGCGAGTCTGAACGCGGTGAGGACAGCGAACCATAAAGACAAACACCTTCAGGAAAGAAACTGGGCCTCGCGTCTCAGTGGCAACCTAGCGTTCAGTAGATTCTGCATTTATCGCTTGATCAGCCGCCTCTCCTGACAGCTCCCTTGAGTTTTGGGTTCAGACGTCTGAGCTGTGCTGTAGATGAGGAAGGAGCCCCCCCCCCCATCGCTACCCTGTTCCCCTACCACCACTGTCAGTTTTGTATTCCACATGCTGAAGCAGCCCATTCTCAAGCATCAGCTATATCTTACCTGTTTGAGCCTGCTGGGATTCCCTGTCCTCATAATTTTGTTTGGACTTGATGGATGACAGCTGAAATACAACGCTGTCAAATATTCTTGGCATTTATCTCACCCCTACATGCAGGGCTGTTTTGCACGGGAGACTGTTTTTTTTTGTGTGTGTGGGTTTTGAATTGCCTTGCTGCATCGAGGAGGGATGTATTTATTTATTTATTTTTCTGTGCTTTGGAGTAATTCTCCTTTTTTTTTTTTTATGTGGTCTGCATTATTGCCTCTCTTTCTCACCACAGCCTGAACGGCTCCCTGCCCAGCAATGTGGAGATCAAGAACAACACTCTGCACTTCAAGGGGCCGGTGACCAATGACCTGGCAGGAACCTACGTCTGCGACGCCACCAACGGCATCGGGACTCGCACCGGCATCGTTGACGTCAACATCACAGGTAGGTGTACAGCGCTTGTCCTCTTGGCTCTTTCTCTTCAGTAACGCTGGCATGGCTTCATCAATGCAGTAGCCCTTTATAAAATAAAAGCTTTTGTTTCAGATTAAGCTTACATAAAAAAAATAATAATTTCATCCAATCATCTTTGTGTTTCCTATGTGGAGGCCTGTATTTGAGGCAGGTTAGATGAGGGAAACTATAATCCCCTCATTGTTTAAGTATCAGAGCTCTACACACATTAACAACCACCACCCTTTTTTCATCCTGTGTGGGAGCAAACTAACACAGGTCTATCATCGGCGCCTAAAATAACAGCAAGGAAATTGGGGTTTTTAGGTGAGGGTACTGTATTGATCATAGTTTGCTCACATCACACTCCCATTTCCCCAAACGGCTCGTTTCTCTGTTGCAGCTGAGCTCTGAGCTCCTTCTTTTGACTCTTCTGTTTTCTGGGGAAACAAAACGCTGAGCAAAACTGATTCAGTCTCCGAGCCTTCCACATAATTGCTGGCACACATGAACTGTGGTTCCTCTTGGTTCTAATCCACGGGGGAATTTATTGTGCACCCAAAGCCCCAGCTACATTATCAACCAGATCTCACTCTACAGCCAACAAACGAGGGGATCTTCATGTGATTGGTAGCAGCTGTGTGTGTGGTATTGCGAGACTGTGACAGTTTTGGTCTGGTCGAACTGGAACAACACCCCTCCTCCTCCTTTTTTTGCTTGATTCTGGGAATTGGCGTGTTGTAACTCGCATCGCTTTGCATGTTGACTCTTGTGTCTCTGAAATGCCATGCTTGTTGTGAAATGAACAGCTGTCCCCTTACAGTATCATTTGTTTCTGTTTCCTCTGATTCTGTGTGCTATTTTCCCACAAGATAATACAAAGCTGCTTTAGAGGATGTGAGGACATTACCTGCAATCCAAAGTAGCCAAATTAGTGATGTGATATAAATCTCAAAGGAGCGTAACCTTTAGATACTGGAAACTGAGGAAGTAATCTTATGTCAGAAAATCACTATGCATCAGCTTGAATTAAGTTAGTTTGTTTCAAGGAGACGAACTGTTTGACTCGAAACTCTGTACCCCTTATGGTAAGACAAAGCAAAGGCACTGAAGTAATTTTCTATTTCTGCTTTTCATTGATCGCTTAAATTAACAAACCATAACATGGTTGTCCCAGCAGTCTTTTTGTGTATTCTCATTTGTCTGTATAATTTTATTGTGTGAGCAAAGTGAACAATGCATGGGCACATGGCTTGAGTCTGTTCAGTTGCAGATTGTCTTTTTTTGTTTTTAAGACGTCGCAGCCTTTAAAAGGCTTGCACGTTGTTCAGGTAAAAGCTCTGAAATCACTCCTGGTTGTCTGCAGTTAAAAAGACATTTTGCCTACAAATGTGAATTTTACTGTGATAAATATACTCGGCTATTAAACATCATACAATTAAAAGCCATAAAGCTGTACATTGAAGACTCATTATCATGATTTCAGGGCTATTCCAGAGAGATTCAATGCACAAAACCGTAAGTTATTCTCTCCCACAGAAGGAAGTAGGTTTTTCCTCTTGAACCTCCTTTATCACGGTAAAGCAAATTTGCATAATGCATGCATCATAGTTTGTTTGTTACCAACGTTTAAAAAAAAAAGACCCACTGTCTCATAGGCTACTTATTTTTAACAACTAGTTTAACAGATCAAATTAGATGGGTCTGGTTGGAGTCAGGTTTTAAAGAAACTCTGTTTGTTGTATCCATCCTAGAGCAGAAACATAGTTTTTAATCATTATAATAAAAAAAGGGAGTTACCAGCTTCCATTTTTTGTGTGTGGCTACATCTAGGTATTAGAAAGATTAATTTCAAAAATTGGGTTGCCACGTCAAAATCTAAGATGGCTGCCACCATAAATGTTCGTCTTATAAGCTGGATAACTTAAAAAATTAAAAACATGTCAACTTCCATTTTGGTGTGTGGCTGCATTTGTGAATCCAAAAGGTCACAATTGCACCATGTGCCTATTCAGCTTCGCTGCTGTGATGATAGAAGCTTCCATGTTGTACAGAGGCAGGTGATTGGCCGGTAGTTGGATGGGATTGCCCCTTTCTGAGGGTCTTTCATGATCAAGAGTGTTCAGCCTTGAGTCAGTCACTATCTTGAATGTCTGCCACTGTAATTAGCACTTGCTCTTGGAGTCTACGGTGTTGACCTTTCCATTAGTAGTTGGTTCATTTGTGCTGCCAAGCGTTCATGGAGAGCAGTCAGTTTCTTTAGCCGGTAAATGTGGATCATGTCAGGCCCAAGTGCAGTCCAGCTCTTTGTTCCTGAAACTCTGTCTTGATTGTCTGCCACTGTAATGAGCACTGGTTCTTGTTCTGAGAGATTACAGAGAGAGATCTTAGAATGTGTAGCTATGGAACATTATTATATGATGTCTCTTTTTCCTATATGTTTATCCATGATTGCTCTGTCTCAACTCTTATGTTCTTCCCCTGCCATTGAGAGTACATTCTGAATGGTGTGGTGGAGACTACCCTATTTATCCTCTTGGCTTCTTCTTCTTGAGTGCACCTCTGTAGGCGAGTGGCCAGGGCTTTAAGAAGTTGATTGGCAGTCTCTAGAGACATGTTGTGGTATATTATTATTTTTTTATTTTTTATTTTTTTTGTGTGTGGTGGTGGCTCTTTATTCAATGCACCTCCTTTCACTTATTCTAACAGCTCACTCATTTCTCTTCCAGACTCCTTCTCCATGGTGAGCAATGCTCCTTATTCATTGTAGGCTTGATTCAAGCAAGTCAAGGATCACTGTGGCTGTGGCAAATACCAGCTTAGTGGTTTTTACTGGTGTCAGTATGGATACTTAGTGATGCTTCATTCATGTCTTCTAGAAGACTTTCAGAAGGATTGTCACTTAGCCTTGGCAAGGTGTGCACGTTGTAGCTGCCTAGCTTGGTCACAATATTCATTTTTAGGTCAGCTGCCCTTGCGTAGCATCTTTGTTGTACCTCATCAATCTCTAGGTACGATAGCAGATTTTTTTTTCCTGAAATGTAGGAACATTGGGTATGAAATTGTTTCTGGGTCAATCTGGATGATGGGTATTGATGTTTCCATAGTTCCCACATTCTTCTCATATAGACCCTCTCTCTAGGCTTGCTTGCATAGAAGCATTCCACCACTGTTACATTCCCTCCCCTAGTCTGTGCATGTCTTGTTCCAGTAGCCCATTTCTCATCAGAATGTCCTGGTTCCCTAACATCTGATACAAACCTTGTTAATCTGGGCGATGTCTGAGCTGGCATGGCCACATTATTAGGTCTCTTACTTGTTATGTAACCAAGGTTGCTCAGAGGATGGTACAGAGAGACCAAGGCCACCATTGGCCACCACTTGCCATTGTGCCTTGTCATGGATAAAATTGTCCCCTCCACTTGCCAGAATCTTTCACTCTGCGCCGCCAAGGACAAGAAAATTAAAATAAAAACCTACCTCTTTTTATACACAGTGTAACACCTACCCACTTGAACATCTTGCACCAAAAGTATTAAGATTCACTTTCATTCCCTGTACAATTTCAGTTCAGAAAAATACATCTCGGAAAGTACAAATGTTCACTATTCAAATATTTTAGCAACAGGGGACATCGTTATACTGCTTGTTTAAATAGAATGGCACAAGAGCTTGAAACTTACAATATTGCAGACACAATATGTTTAATTAATTAATTAATTAATTAATTAATTAATTAATTAATTAATTAATTAATTATTATGTTTAAACACTTTAAAATAAGGAACAAGATATTGGGTTCAGTAGTAGTAAAAATATTATTCTAAAAGGTGCCAAACTGGCGGCATTCTGTTGAAACATTGTCTTTTTTGTATCTTTTAATGTTTTATATTGAGCAGTTTTCTGAAACATTATGATGCTAGTCGGCAGGAAGCATTTATTCCAGTACATCAGCCATGGTTGAAAATGTATATTAATATCCATGCCAGGAGGAAAGTTGCTTTCTTGTGGGGGAAACTGATTGAGCTTCCCAAAGCCCTAGTAATATCTAGAATAATACCCCAATACCCAGATGAGTTCACCAGTAAATGCTTCAGATGCAGGACAGAAGCAAATTGGATGGAATCAGAGAGAAGCTGCAAAAAGAAGGGCAAGAGTAAAGGAGGAGGGACTGCAAAAAATTATTGATCTGGAAACGTTCCTGGGAAGGAATGCCTCTGCACTCCATTTGTTAAACTGTTGGCCATGAGTTTCTGTTTATGTTGTCTTCTTAGAAAGTCCACATCCTACTTGCTGATACAACACTATTCATAGTCCTCTGTGGAACCAATGTGCTTCTCTTTGTTGATTTTTTTAACAGTTTGTGAAATTTTACCCTAACATTAAACCATAGCAATGTAGTTTATTTTCGTAGAGAATAAAAATCTCAGTTGTATTGAAATCACCATTAAGGTTAAAAATATGTACCGGTATGTTTTTTGTCTGCTTGACAGTTTGATAGCAGTAAAATAGCTTCACTTTTGATATGTGGAGTTACAGTCGTGCCAAAACACGTCTGGAATATTAAATATCACAGAGCACCTGGTCACCTTTTTGTATCCTCTAAAGTAATAAGCTGGCTGGATACAACTTGCAAGTGTTCTATACCTTTACAAGGTAAAAGGACAGAATTTCCCAAAGGGGATCATACAAGCCTTAAAAGCATGTTGCTGGTTCCCACAGCAACAGTGTCAGGTTAAAGGAAGAACTAGCAGCCTCTCTCCTCCTCCTTCTAAAGTGCAGTTGAGACCCTCAGCTCCAATGTGGCGCCCCGACAAATTTCAGAGAAACCTAAAAAAAACTGACAACAGCAGCCCTGAATCATTAAACAGTTTGGTGCTTTTGAATGAAACATACAGGAACAGAGTAAGTTTGCCTTTGAGTCTCATGCAGGTGCAACAGTTCTGTGTTTTAGTAGTAATATACAGGTGGTATTTGCTTTTTATACTGAT